AGCGCTCGCCACAGGATTCTCAGATTTATTCTCCTCAGCGACGACTCTACGCTCATCGCTGATCCTGAAAGCTCATCGCTGATCCGGAATCAGGACCTCTCAGCACAGCTGACCTGCTTCTCCGCTGCTACAGCGACGCAGCAGTACCGGTCCATTTTCCCCTGCCGCCATCCGGCGATTCTAAAAGAGCTTATTTCTAGCTTAATTTTAGCGACGTTGTTGCAAATGTCGCTCTGCGAGTGTGGCTCGTGCAGGGAAACTTGCACGATGTAGAAGAGCAATGAATATGTCATCTGTCTGGGCAGACCCCACGCAGAGACTGTTCTTTCGCCGAGATGGAATGCTCACTCGAGCATGAGTTTCGCTCTTCTCCGCTCGCGGACCGCCTTCACTGGAGGCAGCCCCGCTCTCCCGTTTCTCCTCTCTCAGCGAGCCTCAGAGAGAGAAACAGTGGAGTCAGGGAACTAATCAACAGGGTCTGAGCGATCGCACGCTGGCACTGTACCCGCATGCTCGCTCTCCCCGTTGCACTCGGATCCACCGCAGAAAGGCAGTGAGCTACGCGCTTACTGAGACAAAATGCTCACTCAAGAATGAGTTTCGCTCTTCTCCATTCGAGGTCTGCCTCCACTGGAGACAGCCCCGCCCTCCCGTTTTCTCCTCTCTCAGTGAGCCTCGGAGAGAGAAACAGCAGAGTCAGGGAGCTAAGCAACCGGCTCTGAGCGATAGCATGCCGGCACTGTACCCGTGTGATCGCTCTCCCCGTTGCACTCGGATCCGCCGCAGAAGGGCAGTGAGCTACGCGCTTACTAAGACAGAATGCTCACTCGAGCATGAGTCTCGCTTTTCTCCACTCGCGGACTGCCTTTCACTATACAGCCCCGCTCACGTTTCTCCTCTCTCAGCAAGCCTCGGAGAGAGAAACGACGAAGCCTGGGAACTAAGCAACCGGGTCTGAGCGATCTCACACAGAGACTGCGTACTCGCTCTCCCCGCTGCGCTCCGATCCGTGTCTCACACAAAAGGATTAGTGCCCCTCTTTACATCGAGCGGCTTTATCCTACAAAGTAGATCGGAGAAGATGCTGCCGCTTACAGCTTCAAAATTGTGTGTGTGTCACTATGGCTGCGCTCACAGACACGGGGGCGGCTTTTACAAAAGCAGTTGTCCCCGTTCTTACGCGGGCGGCTCCCCTGCTCTAGTGTTTCTTTCCTCCCAGTTACTCGGAGGCAGAAATGGCAAACTCGCGGGTATGATCGATCAGGCGTGAGTGATTAAAAGCCGGCAAGGCCCCACTTGCATCACTCTCCACGCAGCACTTTGACAGGGCAAACTCCCTCTTCCATTACTCGTAAGTGTTCTGCCCCCGTGCGGCCAGTCACCTGAGTTAAGTCAACCCCTCATCACGCGGGCCGAGGCCTGGCAGGCCATCCCCGGAGTGTCGAGATGGGTTATGGGGATAATAAAGCGAGGATATTCACTCTAATTTGCTCGAAGACCCCCGCGCTTCAGCGGCGTGGTCCCCACCTCAGTGCTGAGCGTGGACGCTCACGCAAATTTGCTGGCAAAAGGAGCCATGAAAAAGGTTCCTCCAGCCCAGAGCGAGTCAAGCTTTTACAGACGTTACTTCCTCGTCCCCAAAAAAGAGATGGTGGCCATCCTCGATCTCAGCCACCTGAATCGCGCCCTCATGAAGAGGTCGTTCAGGATGATTACACTGAAACAGATCCTCACGCAAATTCACTCGGGAGACTGGTTATTTTCTCTGGACCCGAAGGATGCATACTTTCACATCCAGATAGCCCCTCGTCACAGGCCATTCTTGAGATTCGCCTTTGAGGAGTGGCTTATCAATATACGGTCCTTCCCTTCGGGCTGTCCCTGCCCTCGCACTTTTACGAAGTGCATGAATGCAGCTCTCTCCCCTCTATCAATTAACTCGACGACTGGCTCATTCTGGCCCAGTCGGAGGCAGAATTAATATCTCACAGGACCCTCCTCCTCAGCCACCTGGAGTGCCTGGGACTCAGGGTCAATTTTGCCAAGAGCTCGTTGCTTCCCAGCCAGCGAATTTCATTCCTGGGAACGACTTTTGACTCAGCCCAAATGAAAGCTGTAGTCACGCCGGAACGAGCTCTGGCCATACAGAGGCTGGCGACCTCCTTCAAGATCGGTACCGCTCGCCCTCTCAAAGCGTTTCAAAGGATGCTGGGCCTCATGGCAGCAGCATCTTCAGTGTTACAGTTGGGTCTGCTGCGTATGCTCCCCCTTCAGCGCTGGTTGAAACCATGGGTTCCATCCCATGCGTGGCATCACGGACGCCTGCATATCAGGGTGAGTCAGGCCTGTGTATCGGCCCTGACCCCCTGGAAGAACTCCCGCTGGATGGAACAGGGCATGGCCATGGGGATGGTTCACAGAAGGACAGTTGTCACTACAGACGCCTCCAACTCAGGTTGGGGGGTGCTGTGCGAGGGCATACCGACCTTCGGCCACTGGTTTCCACATCAACTGCCTGGAAATGTTAGCAGTATGTCGAGCCTGTCAGTTCTTCCTGCCAGTCCTGAAAGGGCACCATGTGCTAATCCGATCGGACAACATGTTGGTTGTGTCCTACATAATTCGCCAGGGAGGCCTCTCTTCAAAGCGCCTCTTCACGCTAGTGGAGCACTTCTTAGAGTGGGCTCAACCCAACCTGCGCTCGCTATCTCTGGCCGCTCGATGGGAGCCTTCGTGCCTCCCAGAGCGATTCTTAAACACAATTTCGGAGGCTTGAGCTCTGTCTACGAGATGCCTCTATGCCGTAAAGTGGTCTTTTTTCTCCGCCTGGTGTTTAAACCGTGGCAAAGACCCTCTCACTTCCGAATTAGCAGAGGCGTTGTCATTTTACAAGAGCTGCTGGATAAGGGTCGCTCCCCTTCCATGCTCAAAGTCTATGTGGCGGCTATAGCGGCCTCTCATGTCCCTATGAGGGCCAATCAGTGGGCAAAAATAGCGCGGTCATCCGCTTTCCTGAAGGGTGCAATGAGACTGAATCCGCCTGGTCCCCCTATCGTCCCTTCATGGGACCTGCCCACTCTGCTGAGGGCCCTGAAGGACACCGCTATCGCTAAAGACTGCTATGCTTCTAGCACTAGCATCAGTAAAGCGAATAGGGAACCTGCAGGCTCTCTCAATTAGCCCTGCCAGCCTGGAATTCGGGCCTAATGACTCTAAAGTCGTCCTGAAACCGAGGCAAGATTACGTACCTAAAGTGCTCTCCACTCCGTTCAGAGCACAGGTCATTACGTTCTCCGCACATCCTCCCACTAAAGTGGACAGAGCGTTATCTCTGCTCGGCCCCGTCAGGGCGTTGAGAATCTATATTGAGCTTTCCGCTCCCTATAGACGATCGGAACAACTCTAATCAGTGGGCAAAAATAGCGCGGTCATCCGCTTTCCTGAAGGGTGCAAGGAGACTGAATCCGCCTGGTCCCCCTATCGTCCCTTCATGGGACCTGCCCACTCTGCTGAGGGCCCTGAAGGACACCGCTATCGCTAAAGACTGCTATGCTTCTAGCACTAGCATCAGTAAAGCGAATGGGGAACCTGCAGGCTCTCTCAATTAGCCCTGCCAGCCTGGAATTCGGGCCTAATGACTCTAAAGTCGTCCTGAAACCGAGGCACGATTACGTACCTAAAGTGCTCTCCACTCCGTTCAGAGCACAGGTCATTACGTTCTCCGCACATCCTCCCACTAAAGTGGACAGAGCGTTATCTCTGCTCGGCCCCGTCAGGGCGTTGAGAATCTATATTGAGCTTTCCGCTCCCTATAGACGATCGGAACAACTCTTTGTCAGCTTCGGTAACCGCACCAAGGGGTTTCCAGTTACGAAGCAAAGACTCTGTAGATGGATAGTAGACGCCATCTCGCTAGCATACTCTTCCTTGGGCCTCCAATGCCCCATTGGAGTACGGGCCCACTCGACTAGAGGCATCACCTCGTCATGGGCTTGGTCCAGTGGTGTGTCCATTGCGGATATTTGTGAGACGGCCGGCTGGGCCTCGCCATCCACATTTGCAAGGTTTTATAACCTGGAAGTCCCGGCCTTACAGGCCAGGGTCTTTTCTGCTTGAAATGGCATGCGCTGCGTAAACGGGCATGACAGAGAGCCCTTGGCCATACGGCGCCCAAGTTCTGGTATTGTTCACCTGTTAGCTCTCGACCCCTGGGTGTCGAAGTTACTGGTATACTCTGGAACGATTAACCAGGCCAGGTGTGACCTGGAAAGCTCAGTCCATTTTAGCCTTGGGTTATTGTTGATTCATGGTATCATTGGTTGCTTATGGAAGATATACCTTAGTTGTTCCACTACATTAGCACGGCGTGATTGGACTGTTACCATATGCATCTAGACGCAGTACGAGTGAAGTATCGAAAGGGAACGTACTCGGTTACTAACGTAACCTCGGTACCCTGAGATACGGGAACGAGTACTGCGTTGCTTGCAGTGCTATGTAGCTGCACGACTCAGTTATCGCTTCAGTCAAGTAAACCTGAGAATCCTGTGGCGACTGGGGAGCGCCCATTTATATAGCCAGATGCCCCGCCCATTCTGGCGGGCTTCATCGCCATAGGCTCGTGCAGCTCTGCTGCCGAGCCATTGGTTCGTTTTTTAAGCTCTGCACGAACCAATGGCCGTGCAGTTTCACTGCGTAAATGAATAGGCTTCAGTTCAGGAGAAAAATTATTTTTTCCCATATGCGTCTAGCAAGACGCAGTACTCTTTCCTGTATCTCAGGGAACCGAGGTTACGTTAGTAACCGAGTACGTTTCTGCATCCTTTTGCGGTTGGAAGAAGACATCAGTAGTCTTCTGTTTTACACCCATGAGTGGCGCTGATTGGTTAGTAACATCTGCACGTCTTTGAAGTCTCCGCCCACTCTGTCTCTTTCAGCGCGTGTGGGCGTATTTAAGCTTGAAACTGAACTACAGACTCTGAAACTCGCCACCCTGTGCTGGGTTTCAGCCACAGTGTGGGAATTTACGGGGCGAGCAGCATGACTTTTATCTGCAGCGTTGTCGCAAATTTTGGATTTAGGATTTGACTATGTAAAAATCACATCGCTTCCGTACTCTTTAGTTATGCATTGACATTATATTTCCTCTGCGAAGAAGCATCTAAACGCCGGTTAATGAAGAAACCCAGCTGCTAAAATCTGAAAGTCCATCAGAAGGTATGGCTTTATTTCAACGAGTATCTTTACGTTTGAAGTTTTAATGTTGTACCCATGGTAACAGAGGTAGCATCTTTGTTGTTTGAGAGTAGGATGTGTGTCCATAGGGAACAGCATATTGAGCATGTGGCGTTAGGCAGCTATTGGAAATACCACATTAGTTTTCTGAAATTATAACTGTCTTTACAACTACAGACTATAAATATGTGCTTGAGTAAAATTGTTTTGCAAAGCGATTGCATGCATCTGTAATCTTGCTTCATGATAATCTGCAGTTGGTGGATTAAGTGTAACGAGCATCACTGCTTTAGTCACTTTAATGGACATGGATTCTCCTCATTCAGGGGCTTTTCTCCATGTTCCGAAAGAACAGACTACAGAAAAACCTAATGTCAACCAATATGAACAATATATATTTTATATTTTAAACTGTATTTTGCCGTCTGCCATTATCTAAAAACAAGAATATTGCCCATAAAGGTCTGGCTGGGGTAAGCTGTCACATGCTTTAAAAACTATAATGATAATTAAGATAGTTGACAAATCAATGGTTTGATATCTTTAAATTTTTGCTGTTTCATGAATTGTTTTATGTTTCATATAAATTTTTACTGTTAGCCTCCATATTACCATATCCATGACAGCAATCTTGTTTTTTCCCCCAGTTATTTTTAGCCATGGAATTCCTCACCATAAACTATGAATTAACATGTTCTAACAATTAACATGAATTAACTGTCTTCATGTTTATGAAAGTTTTTTAATTTTAGTGGTTACAGCTGCAGGAATGTGCAAGGTGCACATGCAAAAGCCAATTGAAATGTCTGACTTCCCTGAAACTGATCATTCTTTCATTTATTTTAGTGTCTACAAATCAAAAGCATACTTCTAGAAATAACATTGGATAAAAAAAATCTGTGGACTTGGAAAGCTTTTTCCACATGAATTCATTCTCACTTCTATTTTACTGACTATCTTTTACTGTCTTACCAGCAGCACTGAGTATTTAGCCCATGGATGCTATTAAAGTGGCCGTGAAGGTGAAAGTGTAGCCCAGGAAATACAGGAACACATTCCTCAGTAGGCCTACTGCTCCAAGCTGTTAGGACAGGTGCTAAGTTTCCTGGTGAAAAGAACCTTTTCACCTTCCCAGTGGACCTCAGTGAAGTTGCTTTCATTTCCATTCATTGTATCTGACAATTAAAACGCCTGCTAAAAAAATCTATAATTATTCAATAGTGGACACACAGAGAGCGCATGCTGCGTGCAGAATTTTGTGAAGATGATTCCGCCATCTGGTGACAACAATGCTCACTGAATCTCATTTAATACATCAGAGGTTTGCATAAATATGGCCATTTACTTCTATATTGAGCTTGGCCATTTTAGAGACCTTGTTCTGCAAAAAAAAAAAGATAGGTTGCTTTCCCATGCATGTTAACAGTTTATACAGTACATGTCAGTGGCATTTTTGGCTGCTAAAGCATCTGGGAATGTTACAGTGTGAGGTAAACTCCTCTGTTCTGACCCGAGATGAGGCTGTTGTGTCCGATTAGTATGATCCCATTTGTGGATTTATCATAAGCTTGGGTGATTTGGATCCACACTCTTTACCATATCCTAGCTTCTCTCAATTTGGTAACAGCATTTCACCATCAGATAAACAGAGCAATTGACTGTTTCTTGGAATAGGTTTTGTATTATGAAATCACAGCAGACTGTATAGCTTTGTTCCAGTAGACTGTCACACATCTCCCTCAAGCACATGTTAAGTTGTTACACCTCTTCCTTACAAAAGATCATATTATTGCTTATGCTTTTTAATCTTTTAAAGGGTTAGTTCACCCAAAAATGAAAATCAGTCCATAAATTTCTCACCCTCAAGTCATCCTAGGTGTACATGACTTTCTTCTTTCAGACGAATCCAGTCAGAGTTATATAAAAAATTGTCGTTGATCTTTCAAGCTGTTTCATGGCACTCAGCGGGTGTTGCATGCATCAGTCCAAAAGAAGTTAAATAAAAAGTGTCTCACACGGCTCCGGGGAGTGAACAAAGGCCTCCTGTAGTGAATCGATGCATTTTTGTAAGAAAAATATCCATATTCAAAACGTAATAATCACTTTAATGTAGCTTGCGCCAACAGTTGTACACGGAAGCAGTTCCGAGCGGATGAGGTATGAGGTCAGCGCTGCGCATGCATGCGTGCGAGTCTCGTGAAAACCAACGTTTGTTAACAGGAGCAAAGGACGCAAAGTTTCCTTACTTTAACAAAGGAAAACCAGTCTCCTCTTGGCTTATATCGAAATCCTCCGATATTCTTCTTTACAAATCCTCGTTTCATACTTCTAATTAGTGACCGTTGTTTTGTTTTGATCTCTCCCCTGCGCTTCCGCGTTTGTCACTTCTGAGTTGCGCATGCATGCTGAACTCATACGTCATCCGCCTGGAACTGCTTCCGTGTACAACAGTGAGTGCAAGCTACAATAAAGTGATTATTACATTTTGAATATGGATATTTTTCTTACAAAAACGCATCGATTCACTACAGAAGAGCTTTGTTCACCCCCCGGAGCCGTGTGAGACACTTTTTTTTATTTTTATGGATGGACGCTTTTTATTTAACTTCTTTGGGACTGATGCATGCAACACCCGCTGAGTGCCATGAAACAGCTTGAAAGATCAAAGACAATTTTTAATATAACTCCGACTAGATTCTTCTGAAAGAAGAAAGTCATATACACCTAGGATGACTTGAGGGTGAGTAATTTATGGGCTAATTTTCATTTTTGGGTGAACTAACCCTTTAAGATTACAAATTCATCCCAAGGTCTTTGGTAATCAGGGAACACTCCAGTTTTGCATCTGATTGAACTGAATTACCTGCTCACTTCTTGTCAGCATTGACAGAATGGCATCATATACACTACCATTCAGAGATTTGGGGTCAGTAAGATTATTTTTTGAAAGAAATTAATACTTTTATTCAGCAAGGATGCATTATTATGATTGAAAGTGACTGTAATAGTGAGAGTAATATAATGTTATAAAATATTTATATTTCGTATAAATGCTGTTCTTTTAACTTTTTTGTTCATCAAAGAATCGAAAACCAAAAAAAGTATGGTTTCAATAAGAAATATAAAGATTAAAGATAGATTAAATCTCCATAATTAGCGATTCATTTATTTTTAAAGACAGATTCAAATAAAATTTAATACCCCAAATAAAATAAATACCGTTTGGTTTGATATTTTATTTAATGCATTTGCATTCATACATTTTTAGGTGTGCATTAAGTGTTCAAATGCTTTTTTCATGTGTGAAACATACTGCACACATACAAGTATACTTTTCTTGTATAAGTTTTCTTGCACATTGCTTTCAGGAAGTATAGACTCGTTCAGACCTATCCCAAACTATTAGACAAAAAATTGAGACATAAGAGCTGTCCGATCACAGAGAGTGCATTCACTTCCAAATTCCTTTTGAGCAATCCATTCAGTAAATTATATTATTACTAAATGATATTATTAGATTATTACTAAATTATATGTATTACTAAATTTAGATTATTACTTTGTCAGAATAACAGATTTTTATGAGACCGTAGAGTATTACTGGTTTGATTTGGCAAAAGTCCTGTCAGTCAGCCAGAAATGGTCAGTTCTTTTCTGTGAGGTTAACTGAGCACTAGGGTATTGTGTCTGGAAATTAAGAGATGAAAAAATAGATCAGGATTTGTTGGATGTTCACCAAAATCGCATTGCCAAGAGAGAATGCCATTCTGACAAAAAGTAATGAAAATAAAAGCAAATTAAATGAAAACTGATGATACAGCTCTTGTGGAGAATCAAATTACCTTGATTCGTGATATTTTTATCTTTTATTCTTTCATTCTCTCTTTCTTTCTCTGTTTCCTGGCTGCTGATTTTGGAAGGAAGAGCAGACTGTGGCGAGTAAACCCCATATGTGCATAACCAGCTCTTTCTCTGCTCCTCTGTGTCTCTTTCAATCCTGCTGGTCCTATCAGAAAACCGCAGACCCCATCCAGTCTCTGTCTGTTGTCATGTTATAGTCACTTTTGAAAGGATGCCACATTTGTATTAATTAGTGCGTCTCTAGGTCTCATCTGGGATCTGACTTTAATTTTATTGTTATTGCAATCAACTTAATGCCCATAGCTGAGGATGAAAATGCTTCTTTATAAAAAAAAAAGAAAATCACTCAGTGAAGGTAGGCCCCCCCACCACCCAACATACACTTTTGTTGGCGTCAAGACTTTGTTGCAAGTGTGAATGGTAAAGAAGATCAGAAGTTCCTCCAAAAGGATGGCTGTTTATGTGTTATAGACTGTGGCGAGTAAACCCCATATGTGCATAACCAGCTCTTTCTCTGCTCCTCTGTGTCTCTTTCAATCCTGCTGGTCCTATCAGAAAACCGCAGACCCCATCCAGTCTCTGTCTGCTGTCATGTTATAGTCACTTTTGAAAGGATGCCACATTTGTATTAATTAGTGCGTCTCTAGGTCTCATCTGGGATCTGACTTTAATTTTATTGTTATTGCAATCAACTTAATGCCCATAGCTGAGGATGAAAATGCTTCTTTATAAAAAAAAAGAAAATCACTCAGTGAAGGTAGGCCCCCCCACCACCCAACATACACTTTTGTTGGCGTCAAGACTTTGTTGCAAGTGTGAATGGTAAAGAAGATCAGAAGTTCCTCCAAAAGGATGGCTGTTTATGTGTTATTGAGGCTTTAAATCTCACATGAAAATGTCATAATTTATTCACCCTCATGTTATTCCAAACTTTTTTTTTTCTACTGAGAAATACCTGAGGAAATGTTTAGTAGGTTGTCTGTGCTGCTTTTTCTATACATTGAAAGTGGATGGGAACCAAGGGCTGTCAAACTTCAAAAAGGGCAAAAAGCATCATAATAGCCCTTAGTCACACGCTTAAGTCTATTATAGCTTTATGCGATTAGGTTCATTTAAGTTGT